ACGCACAATCTTTCACGCATGCACACAGATACACACACGATCTTTCATACGTGCAGACACAGACGCACACACGATCTTTCACGCGCGCAGACACAGACACCCACATGCAGACCCACACACTCCTGCAGACCCTCTCACGTGCGCAGACACACACGCACCTCTCACACCCTCCCACACATGCGGGGACACACACGCAGATGCAGACACACGATCTCTCGCCCGCAGACACACATACACGCAGACCCACACACTCCCACAGACCCTCTCATGCGCGCGCACACATACACACACGCGCACCTCTCACACACTCCCATACAGGCAGACACAAACATGGACACACACAAAGAATCTCTCACACACACCCATGCACTCACGTGTACACACATACCTCTCACATTCTGCTAAACACACACATACCCCCACGCTCCCACTCTCACACCGTCAGTCACCATGTTGTTTTATAAATTCTTATTTTAGAAATAAAACCAGTCTGACTCCAAACCAAAATACAAACAGATTCTAAACAAGGCCTCACACCTATCATACATTCTCTGACCTCAAATGTCACCTCTTATTTACACTGATAAAACCTTTACTTCTCTCAGGACAGTGACTTGAAAGAAATTCAGGGATATAAATATTAATCAATTAAAACTTTCGAAATGATTAAAGATTTAACAGTATCTTAGGCTTTTTAATACATCCTCATCAGTTGTGTGACCCTTTGATCTTCTACTTATAAATTCTGTGACTGAGGCCACCTCTCTCACTAACACCTCAAGAAGGAGCGAGGCTCCAAAAGCTTGTGTTTTTAAGTAAACCTGTTGGACTATAACCTGGTGTCGTGTGATTTCTGATCTTGTCCACCCCAGTCCAACAGCAGCACCTCCACATCACACGTTACATCTGTCTCAATTAAATTCCATCTGTCCAAGTCTCCAGCTTTCTATGTCCTGCTATATCCTCTGGCAATCCTTCTCATTATCTGCAGTTCTGCCAATCTTTGTGTTCTCCACAAACTTATTTATTAGGCCACCTACATTTTCCTCCAAATCATTTATATATATTGCAAACAACAGGGGTCCCAGCACTGAGCCTTGCGCAACACCATTGGTCACAGCTCTCCAGTCAGAAAAACACCCTTCCACCACTATCCTGTCTTCTGTGAACAAGCCAATTCTGTATCCATCTTATCAGGTCACCGTGGAGCCCATGTGACCTCACCATCTGTATCAGCCTGCCATGAGGGATCTTGTGAAAAATCTTGCTAAAGTCCATGTAGACAACAATCATTGCCCTCTCCTTTTTGTCACTTCCTCATTGAACTCAATCAAGCTTGTGAGACATGACCTCCCCCGCACAAAGGCATGTTGCCTATCACTCTTATGGGAAAATCAAGAAATAGGAGATTGCTGTTTAAAAATATAGGATTGCCCATTTAAAACAGGGATGAGATGAAACTTTTCCTCTCAGAGTCATGAGTTTTTGCAACTCTCTTCATCCAAAGGCAGTGGAATCGGAGTCTGAATATTTAAGGAAAAACTGAATCGATTCTTGGTAAGTAAGGAGTGGAAAGGTTAGTAGAGTTAGGTGTGAATGTGGATTTGATGTTACAATTAGATTAGTCACAGTCTTATTAAATGGCAGAGCAGGCTCAAGAAGCTGAAAAGCCTACACTTGCTCCGTGTCTGTGTGTTCCATAAACCTCCATCATAGCATTAAAAGCAATTGTTGACTCAACTCAATATTTGCCATGACCTCAAAACTGTGAAACTCCACACTTCTCCAAAACATTATTTCCCTTAATAATTGGGAAGATCGTAATACCGACGCTTAGCCATACTTCACAATAGCAGCTTTCTGCCTCCCTTTTATTAATTTCAAACACAGTGGTAAACTTCATTCTAGCTTTTTACTTCACAAACAAGGAGTCATAGAGCCTCGAAGAGCCTAGGTTTCACTCACAATTAAGGACAGACAGTCATACAGCACGGAAACAGACCCTTCAGTCCTACTCATCCATGCCGACCAGGTTTTCCCATTTGCATGTTTTTGACCCATATCCCTCTAAACCGTTCCTATTCATGTACCTGTCCGAACGTCTTTCATAATTTGTGACTGTCCTACATCCATCACTTCTGCTGATAGTTCGTTACACATACGAACAACCCTCTGTGTGAAAAAATTGCCCCTCAGGTCTCTTTTAAATCTTTCTCTGCACATCTTAAAATTATGCCCTCTAGTTTTGAACCCCCAGCCATGCTTCACAATAACACAAGTGAGTTTTTCTTATATTAGTTCATGGGATGTGAATGTTGTGGATCAGGCCAGAGTTGTTGCACATTCACCATGAGGTGGTGGTGAGTTGCCTTCTTGAATTGCTGCAGTCCTTGAAGTGTAGGTAAACCCACAGTACTATTAGTGAAGGAACTGCAATACAGTTCTAAGTCAGGATGTTAAGTGACTTGGAGGGAAGTGTTCAGGCGATGGTGTTCCTACATATCATGTTCCTTTGTCCTTCTGGGGCTCAAAGGTCATAGATTTTGAAATTGCTTTTACAAAGGAGCCCTGGTGAGATACCACGGTGGATCTTGTATGCAGCAGACACAGCTGATACTGTGTTTGTAGTGGAGGGCATAAATGTCGCAGGTGGTGGATAGGGTGAAAATCAAACAGGCTGGTTTGTGGGAGCAAAGTACTGCAGATGCTGGAATCTGTACTGGAAACAACAAATGCTAAATATTACAGCGGGTCAGACAGCATCCATGGACGGAGAGCAAGCTAACGTTGAGTCTAGATGATTCTTCATGGGGTTTGGTTTGTCCAGGATAGCGTCAGACTTCTTCAGTGGTATTGGAACTGCAGGGAAGTAATCCAACGCACTCCTTATATATGCCTTGTAGATGCAGCACAGACTCTGGGGAAGCAAGTGGCGACTTACTTGCCACAGGACTCCTAACCTCTAACTTGCCGCTGTAGCCACAACATTTGGTTGTATACAACTGGTTGTATACTGCTGAGACTTAGTCTGTACCAAAACCAAATCCCAACAAGATTAGAATGTCTGAAGAAGGGTCTCGACGCAAAATGTCAGCTTTCCCGCTTCTCTGGTGCTGCTTGGCCTGCTGTGTTCATCCAGCTCTACACCTTGTTATCTAAGATTAGAATGTCCTTTTGTTCAAAAAGTGTATCAAAGTAGATCTTCATGTTGTTTATTATTTAATAATAATAGACCATTTCTACAATACCAAGACATTGACCACAAGCATGCTGACTGAAGGATGATTCCAGGCCACATTCTTGCTGCTGGCCAACTGTTCCTAATTATAAACTCCCAGGAATAATACAGCTAGACTTACTTTTGCATATCAACTCTTATCTCTTTAGCAGGGGATGCTGTTGAAAGAACTATTGATATCTTGTTCTGTTGTGGACCTCGGTAGCGAATTCGGCATATTGACTGCGCCTGAAGGATGCGGTAGTTTTCCCGCTGTGAGGTAAGTGGAAATGTGATTTCAAGCATGTCCTGAGTGTCTTCCAAGTGTATATGTGCATTTTAGGAGATGTGGTGCTTGCCATTTTTAAAAAAGAATAACAATGTGTGGAATACATAATCTAATAACTATGAATAAAAGCAGGCACTCAAATGGAGATGTTCAGTTTGTGGAGCATTTGTGCAATGTTATATTGTTCCACAGATCAATCAAAATCCGCTCAAACTGACAGGAATATATCGGTCTTCTCTAGGTCAGGTGGGCATTTTGATCAGGACAAATATTGTGGCCATTTATGATCAAATTATTCAGCATGTCATGTAATATTTAGTAATATATTTCAATGGAATATTGCTGGAAATGATGTTGGATGAAAGTTAATACGTACAATATCCCTTCATTCACAATGAATTGGTGAACACAGCTGATGGCACAACATTGTTGCTGTAAGTAATCATTTCTAGTCTTCCTGTAGCCCTTGAACATTATTTATATGCTAGTCAACAAGTGATATGTCTATACTCTGGGATGAATTAAGGACTACCCTTCATATAAATCTGAGATAGCCCCCTTCCTTGAAGTAAAACATAGAATGCTTCAAAAACACGTAACAAAAAAGGGAGTATTTACAAGCAATAGCCATCACAGAATAGTACCATCACCGTACTTGCAATGTAACCATGTATGCCACACTGCATTCATGGGTATGAAATAAAGATGCTGTACACCAGTGCTGTCAAAAAGGGGAGGGGAAATTTGCTGTCACACTTAATCATAATAGGTATGACAAACCTGGCTTTGCACATTCATTATTCCATAAATCTGGTATTTTCAATAAACATTTTTCAGACCAATCTTCAGACATCTAGCTAATTCTCTTTAAAGGAAATTCCTGTTGAAGTACTGCAATAGCTCCCATGTAATTCTTAAAAGTAGGCTGAATCACCAAATGGCACTTTATAAACTCATATCTTCACGTCTACTCTTAACCTCAAAATCCCTTCACAAAACAAATGCAACAGTCTGTCATTGCCACAGAACACCCAGTGCAGATCCTTTCTTTTGAAGTGTGTACTTACATCACTAAGCTTGTCTCGGGAGCTGCTCCTCTGTGGGCTGTTGGCTTCTCTGACATTCTCACCCTCGCTGTTCCTGCCATTTTCTTTGGATGAGACCTTCATCTATAAGATGAGAGAGAGTGAGAGATGCTTAAGTAATAGCAAAACTATACTGTAGGATGACGAATGAACAACTACAGCTGTAGGATCAGTGTGTTAAATTTACCGATGGAAGGTTACACTTCAAAAGCACCATGGTATATTTTTACTGCTGATTCTTTTCTGGAAGTACAACCCAAACTTAATCAATAAAAGGAATAGGGGAAACAAAACACAATTATGAACTTACATAACACCTTCAAGGATATGCAAAAAAGTTCACAACAATGTATTATTTTAGTAATCAGTCTTTCAATGGGATTGGACTGACAATACTCTGGTTTTAAGGATAGTATCCCACTAAAGGAATCAGATATCCAAAACTTTTCCATTAATTGGTACTCCAAACAAATTATTATTTTAAGCAGCAAGGACATTTTGTGAACATCGTTCCACACGTAGGGGGTTATGAACTCATCCATTTTATTGTTCAGAAGACAGGTGTAAAGTCAAAGCAGTGTTGTTAAACAGGTTGCATGGCAGCATCAACCAAAAGATAAGGCAATATGCTGAGATCAAGGTGTTGGAAGTAAGGATGGGAAATCTTGTTAAATTACAGTTTATTATCTCAATATTTCAAATTACTTTAGACTGCACTTTTAATAATACAAATGCATCAGGCAATGTGCATTTGGCAAGAACCAATAATCAACAAAGGATCAAATAATCTGGTTTTGGTGCCATGGAAGGAAGAATGTGAGTGCAGGTATTCACTGGAACAGAAAGTAGAAACCAAATGAAGCTGACCATCTTGGGGGTTTAGTGCTTTATCAGTGCTATCCTTAAGTAGAAGCCTAAACTATGTCAAATCACAAAATGGAAATTAAACTCACAAACTTCTTACTCAGACAACAGGGTTACTGACTAAAAACAGAAGAAAAACTCTGTGACTATAACAAAAATTACACTGCCCCCATTTGTGATTAAATATTCACCTGTGGTGTCACGTAACTAACTGTAAACATAAGCTATGAACTTCTTCACAGCGACTGTACCACTGGTCAAAACCCCATTTACTCATTCAAAAGGCTGTCAATATATTTTAAAAATGTTAGGCAGCAGAAACATGTTGTTGACAAATAAAGGAGAATTAAACATGAGAGGCGCCTGATTTTCTAATGAAATACATGGCTGAGAACTCCTTGTGTGCACGGAATGGCAGATGATAACCTCCATGATGAGACACGCCATTAGGTGTAGGAGCAGAATTTTGCCATTCAACCACTGAATCTATGCCGCCATTCGATCATGACTGATCATGTTTTTAACTCCATTCTCCTGCGTAACCTTTAGTTCTTACTAATCTATATCTGTCCTAAAGACGCTCGATGACTTTGGCCTCCATAGACTTCTGCAGAAATGCATTGCAGACTCACTACCCTCTAGCTGAAGAAATTGCTCCTCATCTCAGTTCTAAAGGGATTGTCTCTTCACAGTGTCCTTTGGTCCAAGTATTTCCTCCACTGGAAAGATCTTCTCCACATCCACGCTATCCAGGCATCCCAGTCTTCCATTTCAATCAGAGCCCCCTTCATCCCACTAAACTCCATCAAGCACAGACTCCAGATTCCAATTATGACAAGACCTACATGAGAACCTCCTCTGGTCTGACTCTAAAGCCAGCAAAACTTTCCTTAATTGTGGGTCCAAAACTGCTCACAATATTCCAAATGCAAAATTGTGACCAAAGCCTGATACAACCTGAGCAATACATCCCTGTTCTTGTACTTTAGCCCTCTCAAAATGAATGCTTTCATTGCATTTGCCTTCCTAACTGCCAATTGAACGTGCATGTTAACCTTAAGAAGATCCTGAAAAAGGATTCCCAAGTCTCTTTGTGCTTCAGATTTCTGAAGCCTTTCCCCATTTAGAAGATAATCTAAACCTTTTCTTCCTACAAAAGTAAATAACCTCACTTTCTCATTGTATTCCATCTGCCACTTCTTTGCCCATTTTCTGAGCTTGCCCAGGTCCTTCTGCACCATCTCCGCCTCCTCAACACAACCTGTCCCTCCAACTTTGTGTAATCTGCAAACTTGGCTTCAATGCTCTAAGATTCTTCGTCCACATTGTTAATGTAAAATGTTCAATATGAATAGTTGTGACCCAAACAATGACCCCTGTGGAACTCAACTAGTCACCAGCTGCCATCTTGAAAAAGACTCCTTTATCTCCACTTTCTATCTCTGCCAGTCCGCCAATCCTCTATCCATGCCAGCACTCCTTCCCCGGCACCATTTAACTTAGCAGCTTCCCAAGTGGCATCTTGTCAAAGGCCTTCTGGAAATCCAAATAGATCACATTCACTGACTCTCCTTTGAGGAAGTAACAAATTTATACAAAGTGTTCGAACAGATTTTTCAGGCATGACCTCCCCTTGACAAAGCCATGCTGACTCAGCCCTACTTTACCATGCACTTCCGAGTACTCTGCAATCTCATTCTTAACAACGAACTCTAAGATTTTACTAACGACAGCGGTCAGGCTAACCATCCAATAATTTCCTGTCTTCTGCCTCCCTCCCTTCTTAAACAGGGGTGTTACATTAGCCATTTTACAGTCCTCTGGGACCCTGTCTGACTCCAGCGATTCCTGAAAGATCACCAATGTCTCCACAATCTCCTCAGCTATCTCCTTCAGAACCCTGCAATGCAGTTCATCCAGAATGGGTAATTTATCACCTTTGGATCTTTCAGCTTCCCCAGCACCTTCTCCTTATTAGCGCCAGTACACTCACCTCTGCCTCCGCCTCCCTCCACCCCCGCCCCGACTCTCCAGAAGTTCTGATATGCAGAATGGATTAAATTTATACAGCAACCTGACACCCGACACTTATTCATTCTCAAAGAATCAGTTAGCAATGGGACAAGTCTGCATTTGATCACGGCTGATTTTTTTTCAACCCCATTCTCCTGCCTTCTCCCCATAACCTTTGATACCTAAAAGAAACTGAAAGAAAACAACTTATCAACATCTGTGGTTGAAACCAGTGCTATTGAACCGTGTCTCCCTATCTATCCATAACATTCATGTCTTGTGGGCTCGTATGTGTGAATGGAAAATTTTAAAAGCTTAAAATGGATAATTTTAGGTTAGCAATTCAACTTATGTTTTTAACCAAGAATAAATAGTCTGATTACAATAATGTTACTTTCTTATTAACGGAAAAAACATGATGTCCATATTCTTTTAACTTGAGTTGGGACAGATGGATAGAATTGGGGCAATTCAATGGTTTAATGAAATTTTTATATTTGTGGCAATTCTGGAAATAGTGGGACTTGATTTGCAGTAAATTAGGCCAGTGACTTATGACAAAATAAATACCATTCTATTTTTTATCAACTATCAAAAATCAAGAAAAACTTGCACTCAATCTTGTTGCAGGATCCAGGTTAAGTGCACAATCTGATATGTCATTCATTCATTCATTCATTAATTCCCTATAGTGTGGAAACAGGCCCTTTGGCCCAACAAGTCCACACCAAACCTCAAATATCACACCCAGACCCATCCCCCTCTAACCCACCTAATCTACACATCCCTGAGCACTATGGGCAATTTAGCATGGCCAATCCACCTAACTTGCACATCTTTGGACTGTGGGAGGAAACTGGAGAATGTGCAAACTCCGCACAGTTGCCTGAGGGTGGAATCAAACTTGGGTTCCTAGTGCTGTGAGACAACAAATTATTTGTTTTTAAAAATCAGATTACAATGAGATTGGGCGATATATTTGTAGTCCAAAGATTGCACATGTAATAATCTTATGTTACTGCCTTTAATGGTCCCAACCCCCGTCTCTCCATTTATTCTATAAATAGTGGCAGCAGCCACCTGGCCACAATTATACCAAAAAGGTTTCCTCTATAAACAAACAGCATATGCACCATTCAAACCCCCAGGAGCTGCATACTTAACATTCATTAAATCAACATGCTTTCAACGACTCAGGGAATGTCAGCAATTAACTCCAATGCAATGAACAAGCAGGAGGAGAGAGTGAGGAAGAAGGGGGGAAAATATCTGTCCAAGTAACACTGTCTGTGAGAAGCTGATCAAGAATGCAAATTAGAATGACTGCCATTGCAATTAACCTATTAGACTAAATACCAATTATTAAACACGCTTGTTCTTTTGGCTCACACTGCTCTGAATTAAGAGGGTCATCAGCTGATTTGACAGATCGTGTTCCTTTACACCTGCTGGCTGCCAGCAGGAGTCCGCACACCCTCTGGCAAGGCAAGCCAACCTGTCTTAATCATTTGTAATTATCCTAACAAGCTCTCGTCGTAATTCTGGTTACAGGAGTTGCTAATCAGCTAAACAAAATTAAATGGTCTAACCTACAATTCAGTTGTCTGCTCCAACACAGAGACACAGAATTATTCCCCACCTGGACCTTAAATCTTTGAAAACCTTAGTATAGGCTGGATGCAAGTGTCAGTGATATCTCCTGTTAATGTTAACTTGCTTCTACAGCTGCAACCCATGTATAGAAGCACCAGTCACATTATCTTGATTGCAAATAAAATGATATTCATTAGTGAATATCTCGACACAGTCATTGCTGTACACAGACAGCAGCAGATTTTCTATTCACAGAGTAAGACGGAGCTAGGAAGCAAGATATACTTATAATACATCCAAATGGGTGGGAACTACATTCATCTGGTTCCGCTCTTACCTAATTGCAGCCACAGAATCAATCTGCAGCGGTTTCTCTTCCAGTTGCTACAGAGCTACCACAGATGTTCCACAGGATCTATCCTTAGCGCTCCTATTTCTCATGTAAATACTACTCTTCAGCGGCATTATTCGAAACACAACAGAATTTCCACATGTACACTGATGACACTCAGCCCTAGTTCACCATCACCTCTAAATAATCAGAATTTTTGTCCAACATGCAGTACTGTTTGAGTAGAAGATTCCCCCAATTAAATGTGTTAGATAGACTGAAG